ACACGTTGATCTCCCTTCAGTTCGGGTGCTAAGCCGTCTACGGCTACGGCTACGGCTGAGACTCCGGCTGAGGCTTCGGCTCCGGCACATCCTTCGACTTCTGCCCCAGCGGCACCTCTGCTGGTGCTGCTGCTGCTGCTGGTGCTACTCCGCCTCCCACGACTTTCTCCGTTTTTTTTTTCACGCCAAGCTTTTTTATGGCCTGCATAAATCAGAGATTCCCCTGCAACATCCTCCACAGCAAACTGTCTGGACTCGCTTTTCCCACCAAAAAAAAAAAATATATCAAAAAAAAATAAGGGCCGAGGGCGCCGCTCTTGATGATGACGATATTATTGGGCGCCCTCCAAACTAAACATATATACGGGCACATATATATATATGCATATTTATGTATGTAGGTATCTGGAACTGTAAAGTTTAGGCCTTGGTAATTGCCGACACTCGCAGCGCATGAAAATTTAAAATGCAACAAATGAAAGAAAATGCCACACTGCTCTCGCCCCAACCGTTTTCCAAGTGGCTCTCTGGTTTTGACTGCGAATTAAGGGGAACGCCCAGGGATGGCAGGCACCCTGGTCCCCCTCACCCCAATTTGTTTTGGCCTGGTTTTACATGGCACCAGGCAGTGGGCATGGAAATGTGACTGGGACGGGGACTGGGATTGGGGCTGCTTCTGGGGGAAAGAAAAAACATTTAGGCAACTTGGCCCTTTGAAGGCTCGTGGTCATAAATTCCGTTCTCACCACATTTCCCCCATTTCTCCTCTTGCCTTTCTCACACACACTTTTCATTTATTTCTTTTTCCCTGGCTCTCTTTCACTGTTTGGGGGGCCAGGCACAAACATTTTCGTCTACCAAGGTGCAAAAAAAAAGCAAGGAAACCCAGAACCCCCAGAAGAAAATCAACGAAAAGTGAATGCTCTATGAAAGTACAACTCAAGTTGCAAAAAGTTACATGCAGTGCACAGTGCAGATCCATCTGATTTTCCTTTGTGCAAATATCAAGTTGAATAACTCTCTAAAATTGTCCCATAATTGCGCCAACCAGGAAAGCTGCACTGGCATGGCAAGCGGCATTCTGTCTCAGCAGTCTCAACAGCCTGCACAATGAAAATGCCAAAAAACAAAGCATATTTCTGGCCATACCGTCTAACCTGACTTGGTTTGGCATGGGGCTGTTGGCTCTGGTTCTTTGTCAGAGGGACAGACAGACAGACGGACAGAAAGACAGTCCAGAGTGGGTGAGAGCCAGAGAAAGAAATAAGGAATCTAAAATGATAATAAAATATTCATATTAATCTGCTTGGCTCATAAAATATTCAGCTGCGTAATTGTTGGCATTACGCTCGAGTCCAAGCCCAGCCAGCTATGACGACAGACGACGAGTCAGTGTGCCAGCAGTGCCATCAACATCATCAACATCCTTATCATCATCGTCGTCGTCTCCATCTCCAACTCCCGCATCTGGAAAAGAAATGCCAAACAAAAATCTTGCAAGTTTTTTTAATTTACACCTGACTGCTTCTACCTTTCCCTCTCTCCATGCTGCCTGTTTGTTCTGTGTTTCCTTCTCAAAACAAAAAGAAAAGTCACTTTAAAGCAGGCAGATTTAAGCGCAAAATGGAGGGGTTCAAGGTGCATAAGAAGAAAACCACAACAAACCAAAACCAAACCAAAACCAAAACCAAAGCCAAACCAATGGCAATCCCATTTAACCTATCCTTAATTGCTCATAATTTTGGTTGATTTCACTAGCATATGTAGCATTTTAATTTGATGTGGGAAGCCGCCACTCACCTGGCACTCACGAGTCATACTCCTACAATTCCACCTGCTTTCCCTGCCCGCCCCACCAAATGCCTCTTCCGTTGCCTCACAGACCTGACGTCCTCATATGCATAATATGCATAATCAATGAAGCCTCATTAACCTGTCGCTGTCGCTGTCACTGTCTCTACCTCTAGCTGGTTATTGTTGTTGCCAGTTAATTACGCAACCCATAAAATATATATTGCTTCTCATCGCGCTTTACATCAGAATGACGTCGATTAACACCTCATAAATGTGTGCGCGAGTGTGTGTTTGAGTATGAGTATGAGGGCTGGGGCTGTGTTTCTGTTTGTGTTTGTGTAAAACCTGTTAATTGGTTTAACGGTATAAAATTGAAACCGCCGACGTTGTTGTCGGAAATCGGAAGCCCATGAGGCGTATGCGTAATATATTTCAACCAGAACCATCCGCTCAATCCACCATAGGAGAAAAAAAAAAAAAAAAACACACGAAACGAAACCATGTTCCCAATCACATATTCACATTCCGAATAGCCTTCTCGTATTTTCCCAACCTTTTTCATATGCTTGCCGTTGGGATATGTTGTGTATATCGACTTTCTGCATGAATTCCTAGATAAAAAGAAATGGATATAGCATTCAGCTTCATCTCTGCTAAAAACCATAGCGATCGGATAATTATTATTATCACTGCCATAAAATTTCTTCATAAATTTCTTCACAGCTTGTGTATTTTCTTTGATTATTTCACCTGGCTAACGAATATTGAACGGATATACCTTTTTTGGTGTACATACACAACTGTTTGTGGAAGCAGAGATTTCACAGAGATTGTGCATAATTAATATTCATATGTTACCAATCATGCATTTAGTGGCTTGTGTTAATTATGACATATATGGGATGTGAACATGTGGCAATTTTGCAATGTGTGCTGTCGGCCACGTTCTTAGAACGGGGCATAATATTTGGCCTGAACACATGTAAATCATTTGAAACGGATACTGATACTGATCTGCACACAAGCAGATACAAACACACACACACACAGATACAGATACACACCCACTTGTACGAGTACGAGTACACATGCTGCCTTAATTCGATCTGATTTCAATAATAATTCATAATTGACTACTTAATTGACTTGATATTAATGTTAATTAAGCCCAACCGCACTGCAATTTGTTGCGCACAAAACTGACAGCTTATGAAACCTAAGTCGGAGGACAAAGCCCATTCCGATTTCCCAAGCAAATGCCTGATTTTGTTCAACATTTCCGCTACTCACAAGCTCATACAAATTTCAGCACATCACACACACACACACACACGCAACACCCCAAACCACCCACATAGATGAACAAAAACTGATATACAAAAGTCTCAATTTGGAGCGAAGGCTGCTCAAAAGGTTCATACACTTTCCACTCATTTAGATAATTTCTTTTAGCGTAGATATCGCAGGGAGGTAATCGATGGGGAAAAACCAGTCTGCAGAATGGAAGAAATGATCAAGAAGAGCTATGCATCCATCCTAACTAATATGGCAGCTTAAATAAAAAAAAAAAAAAAACAAAATTTCTAAAGCTCTTCTGAATTATCCAACAAAATATCAATAAATAACTTACACATACAAAGAAAAATTAAGTACTATTTTCAGTAAAACATCAACAACTTATTCATCGCTTTCCACACCAATGAAACTGTTCAAACTGCACCTTATTCTCTCTGGCTGACCATCTGGCTTTCCCGAAGCCCCACTCGAATCTTCTCATCTCTCCACACATCTTTATGAAGTTGAAGACAAAATTGTGTTGCATCGTTAGTCTAATTGCATTTTGCACAGGCGACAGTACAACAGATTCGTGTTCTGCTCAACAGTTGCTGCGATGCACTCATATATGTACATTTAGTATAACGAAATACATACATGTCTAGATATACATACATACATATGTATGGATCCACTACGGTTGGGCAGGCATGCGTGAATGTTGCAGGAACCAAGCACAGAATCAAGAACAGGACATGGCAGGACAGAAGAGCAGAGGAATTTTGCAGAGCAGGCCATGCTGCTACTGCAATGGCTGAAGCTGAAGCCTGATGGCATTTTTTGGTTATTAAGACGATACGAATTTTCCCACACACACACTCATGCCCATGTAATAACTAGTAATTTCCCCACGCTTATGTGGGGGGGGCTGGCGACATGAGAGTCACAAGTCTAACTTTTGACTCTTGATTTCTCTGGCCTAAATGAACCTGACCAACTCGCCTCAACAGCTACAGCAACAGCAACAGCAACAGCAACAGCTGGCCTAACTGCCATTTAAGTAAGCATTTTCGTTGTGGAATACAGACCAACCTGGGACATACCCTAGAATCGTAAAAGAACGGCACCTGGCTAAACTTATAGATAGAGCTTCTTGGGGAAAACCGAACGAAGCCTTTGCTTGAATATATATCAGTTTGAAATTTGGCAAGCTATTGATACCCTCGACTCACCGACAAATGTGTCCCATTCAAATGAACCAAAACTGAATTGTGTCTGGGCTATGCGTTTCGCACTCGGTAGTCGTCCCCCTGGCTGTTGGCACATTTCGTTGTAGATTTTTGATATTTTCATTACGTGCATCTGCCAGTTACGCTTCATTGTCTGCATGCGTATGTGTGTGTGTGTGTGTGTGTGTGTGTGCCTGGTAGTATATAAAATCTTGTACAACGTGTCCTTGCCGGTCCTTGGGTCTCTCGTTACGCTTCGTTACATTGCATTGGTTATTTCGCCTCTGAACCCTGTTCAGATTTTAGCCGCTTAATCTCTGCTGACATTTGGTAAGACTGCAACACTAAAGGGGCAAAGATACGGCGCTGAGTGGTGGCTGCATTTTACAAGCTTTTGAATGTGAAAACAACAATGAAATTTACCATTCCGGCACAACTCAAGTCGAATCGAGCAGCCTCCTTCCCTGACGGCCATACCCATCCATTAGTCAGTCCACAAAACCCACACCCATCGGGCTTAAAAATTAAAATTACAGAAAATCAGTGGTGGAAGGAAAGCTTTAGTGGATAATTTGAACATGAAAGGCTTGGGATTTGCACAAGTTGTTAAAAAATATATATATATAGATATAATTATCATAGGAAAAGCCGACGATCTGCAGCATTGACTATTGACACTTTGGGTTGGGCTTTGTGGTGCTGCTACTTCGACTCTGATTGAACCTGTGACTTTGTCTGTGCTTCCAACTTTTTGATTTCCTCATCGATACGTTCCTTGGCCCGAAAGACCTTCGATTGAATGTAGAATGAGCCGCCTGTCTTCGTCTCATTGGCCTGAAACAAGTGCTGGAATCTGTTCTCGACTTCTCGGCGATCCAGCACATCCTTTACGTTCAGAATCGACTGCGCCTCCGCCAGCGTCATACCATTGAGCGCAGCATCGGATTTGGTGCGCGTGCAGGGGTCGGACTGCGCCGCATGCATCCGGGCTGCCTCCCTGTGGGCTTCGATCTCCTGGCGCACCGTCTTCGCGAACGCCTTGCCAACCGACTGGGCTCCCAAGAGAACGATCCTCACTAAGTACCGCGCCATTTAATTCCGTTTAATGAATTTTTTGTCGTCTGACTTGACAATAAAAAAAAAGGGGCTAATAGTAGAACTGTACACAAAAACAACTATATACTCAGCTGTGACGAGAGGCAGCCAATCGGGTGCTGCTGTAAATATACCATGAACGTCCAGATATATCGCTCCCTGCCAGCAGCCAGCTGCAGCTGTGGAAGGAGTGTGCAAAGTTGCAGTAAGAATCAATTAAATTTTATAGCTCCAATTTATTTCTATCGACAGACGACAAACAAAGTACTGAGCCCATCTCTGTCCTCAGTTCGGGCGCCCCATCAAGCCGTGCAGCTTCTTGACGGGCACGGTACGCCAAAAGAGAACGCCTCCGCGGTGGTAGAAGCCACTGTGCGCATAGATGTCGCCAAAGCACTTGGTCCAGTGTTCATAGTGCGGCATTTGGGAGGGCATGGCAGCAGCCAAGGGGGACCCTTGGACATCCATGCAGGTGCCCACCACTGATAGAGGGTGCAGCACGTACGAGGACGATATATTGACTAGGATCTCGTGGAGTGCCTGTATGCGGAAGAGTGGCGGCCCATAGTGGAAGAACAGAGCCGTCGCGACAGTGGTGACGGCCATGATGCCCATTTTGCGCAACAGGCGGGGCACAAAGCCGGCATAGAAACCGGCCATGCCTTCCTCCCTGAATATCTTGACGATGGTTTGGCCCATATTTTTGTAGACAGATTCGCAGCCAATAAACTGGGCTATCTGTCGTGTCAGGACAACAGTCAAGGGCTGCGTGAGGACCAGCTTCAGGGTCAAGCGGATGCTTCTGATAAGCAGGTTCCAGGACACATCCTGCACCGAAGTGCCAGTCGTAGGGCTGAATTTGCATGTCCGCGGGCCCAGCATTATCATAGATGTATCCATCACGTATGAAGTGACATTTACCGCAATGCTGGCCGTCAGACCCCGATAGAGGCCGAAGAATCCATCGCTCTGATGGATGTACCCAATTAGATGTTGCGCCCCTGGTAGGAGATTGCGCGGTCCAAGGAATCCCAGCCGAACAACCTCACCAGGAAAAGGTTCAAAGCCCAGTTGCATCAAGACACCGGCATGATGCAACGGGTGCATCAGCACAGTCCAAACTACTTCCGTGCAGAGAAATTTTAAATTTTTGTTGATCGTATGGCTATTCTGCAGCGGGTCTCTGTCTCCTTCGTCTTCGTCAGAGCCCAAGTCCTCATGCCCGGCATTCAATTCGCCGCGACCCGCAACCAAGCGATTAGCTGGCAGTTCATGCTCCCATAAGTAAAGGTCATCCTCTAGGTAATTCCCGCAAGTTCCGCAAGTTCCGCAAGGGCATCAAGTCTTCATCGTCTGTGAACTCGTCATGGCCTTCCGCCGCCACCATCTCGTCTTCGGGGCGATTGTCAGCCATGTTTCTGTTGATTTTAAATAAACTGCTTCGGGAGTAGAATTGTTTAGTGAAATATATTTTGATATAAAAGGCTTGCGTTCTGGTTTATGAATGATTCTTTATTGAAAACTAACTTATATTTATATGAAATAGTGAAGAGGCGTTACCTCCATGCAGGCGACCAACGCGTTGGTGTGTTTGGTTTTGAATGGCAAGTGTCAATTTGGAAAATGTTTATTTTATGCGACACTTGGGCGTTGTTGCCACGCCCGCTGATAGTCTGGAATATCAGCGCACCGCACCGCACCCCAACCCCACCTCAACCACTGCCCATGCTTAACCAACCTGTGGGCTATTATCGTATAGCATTTCGCTTAAGTCTCCATAGTTCTTGTGTGTTGAGCTTCCCCCCCACCCCGTTTATTTGTTTGTTTCTCTGCGTTTAATGTGAGCCACTGATAAGCCGCGCCGGCAATCGAAATCGCAATTGAAATGCAATTGCAATTGTCAGCAATTCAATTGGGACTTTATTGAGTAGTCTGTCTACCATCCCACCATCCCACCATCCTACCATTCTCAAACCACTGATCAAGGGCTTGGCTCCGACTCCGACTCCGATTCCGACTTCAGCTAATCATAAAATTTGCGTAACTGCAGCGGGCCATAGACAGTCGCTAGTTAAAGTCAATGCGTCGCGGCTATAAGTTTATTCCACTCGATTGAATTGCAATTTCAGTTATATTCCAGCAGATCGTTGGGCAGGAGGAGTGCCGTAGGAGGTTGGAACACACTTCAAATCTTGACAAATTGCCAGCTTTCTTAGTCTTGGCGCTTAATAAAAACTCCACCAAGAACTGTGTTGAGTTGCGGATGCAACCAGTCGAAGCCGGCAAGCAAGCGCCGTTGCAACGGCGGGATCCGAGTTTTGATCTCTGCCCGACAGAGACAAGCGGCGCGCCGCTGGGGCCGCATCATATTGCAATCCGTCTTTACTACACCTTCCCTTTTTATAAGAATAACGTAATGTATATGGAGTTATTCTAAGGTGTATACAATGTATTAATTGTGTGTTCTTTATAATGCATTTATGCGCCTATATCTAATTATAATAGTACGTATATTTTGTAGCGCTTGTAGTAGGAAATATAGGTTGGCTGTGGTGGCGCCATCTAGTGCTCCAGTGGGTTAGCGAATGGAAGGTCAGGGCGGAAAATAAATGCGCTAACAGGTTCAAATGTCAAACTCTCTCTTATGCCGTGGACCTGTTAGAGGTGAACAATATTAATATTAAAAATAATAATATAAGTAATTCTGGCCAAATGATAATTAGATCAGTGGAATAAAGTTTTTAAAATATTGGACAATGCAAGGACGATGCATAAGGCGAGGGTTCAAATAAATGAAGCGAAGGAACTAGAAAGCAAATGATTCCGTTACACTTCTCCAGTATAAGGCCCTTTATTTTAGGAATAATGTGTAAAATATAACCAAATAAAGCACTCAACTTTTATCGGTCCCAACTCTATACTCCCTGAGGGTTCCATTTAGGTAACGCGATATGAGTATTGAGAGCGCACGTCGAGCGTGCTCCTCTGCAGGGGTGAGTGTGGGTGCGAGAGAGAGACAAATGGTACATATAATATATACTTATACATATAGCTCCATCGTTCGCAAGCTTTCTTTAATTTATTGATGGTTTCTTTAATTTTTTTTTTTAGTTTGTTTCGAAAATTTTAAATTCTTCTTTTGCCACCTCTTCTGGTTGCGTCTGCAACTCGTTTACTCTTTTCTTGATTACAAATCCCTGAGAATCCACCGACGAGCTCCCTGCTATCCACCACCCCATCGGACTCACCCGTCCGTCCGCCCGCTTGCTTTACGTACAACATGAAATTTCAATTAGGCTGACCCCGATGCCCTTTGCTGTTTTTCTGCTCAATTTAATGCAGCCAGCCGTATTGGCATTCCGCCCCACCCAGCGCAGCAGCCATCACCGCCGGTTGGTCTGCCCCACTCATTTCCCATTAGGTTGCAATTTTTTTTTTTTTTTTGTATTTCATGAAGAAACTTTTGATGTTAAAATCAAGGCACTGCAGCTGCAGAGGCAACAAAAACCGTAATGCAGGGATGGGTAGGGGTGGGAGGAACATTTCTATTAACCAAATTACTGCACCATGAGGGCACATCGGGGGGGGCGGAAAGAGGAATTTATATTAATCGTTGCAGAATTCTTGCGAAAAATTAAAGAAAACTTTACCAAGCACGAGTGAACGAAGTGACCTTGAGCATATGGCTGGCAACATACTTGGGATACGATCTTCAATTTTTCACCAACTTGGCCAGGATCAACAGCCGAAGGGCCAGGATCAACCTCTGCCCCATTTTGTGGCGCCAGTACACCAGCCATGCCCATGCCCATGCCCATGCCCATGGGCTGTTGTGACGTCTCCTTCTGCCACCGCCCCGATTCATGCAATCCAATCCAATCCCGTCCAACGAACCGAAAGCCAATGCAACTTATGCGACACGCACAGTTGATTAACAATGTCGCAATTTTTGAACCGAACTAACTACGTCGAAATCCCTCAGCCATGGCCATGGCCCTGCTTTCCAATCCTCTGCAGCCACCCACAGACACACGCACGATTATTGCACATCACTAATTAGTGATGTGTGCAACGCATCGCGCCTAAAATTTTAGATCATGAGAAGGCGGAGCAGGAATAGGAGCAGTAGCAGTAGCAGGAGCAGGAGTAGAAGAATGAAGTGGAACTGGCAGAAGCGAGACCTGACGTTGACATTCCACTAACAGTGAAATTGTTTTCCAAATCCTAAGCTTGCATGTTAGCCACAAGCAACAACAGTACGGAAATCGGCCAGGGGAGTGGACAGTCAGAGGTGGACTTTGGGGTGGGTGGAGGGGTGGTGGAACCACGAACGGCAGCAGCGAATAAATGGCAATGAATGCGACACTGGACACGGACGCCAGGACACTGCACCGACCACTTTCAGCGCCATGGCCATGGCCACGCATCACCAACGCCAGCCTTGCCACGATGCAGCAGATCCCACGTTGCATGTGCGTGGTGTGGTAAATAGTGAACTGTTCGCCATTCGCCCTCTCTATCCTGCACAACTGTACTCTATCTGGAGCGAGATCATCATCTTTTGCACTTAATTGGTGCGTTGATTTAATAAATTATCACAATGACACGATGCCCAGCCATAATCCTTTCAATCTTGAACTGTTCTTGGATATATGGACTTCAATTTAATTGCCAGCCAAATCAGTTTTAGCAAGAGAAACCCATGCGAGGTGCACTTGAGTGCGACATCATTCGCACTTCTTGTTGCATTTGCACTCAAACATTTTTTGTTGCAATTTCGATGGGGAGGAAAGGACACTGTGTGGGTTGGTGGACGACTCCGCTGTCAGGGGATTAAAACTGCCGGATGCAGTGCGGAAATCAAAATGCTATGGCGGCCAGCCATCGGACACAACTGACGAGCGTTCCATCCCCCACCCCCCGCCTGGCAATAGCACAAAAAATACCAAACCAAATGGAATCAGAGTCGGAATGGGAATGGGCATGGGAATAGATAGATGTATGTAGATGTAGGCATAGGAATCGGAATCGGAATCGGTGGACCGATCGAGTCGGTAACAGCAGTTTAAATGGCAACTAATCTCAAAGGGGAGGAGGACTCCTGGCAGTCCTGGCTGTCCCGGCTGTCCTGGCTGTCCCGGCTGTCCTGGCTGTCCTGGCTGCCCTTTCAGTCCTGGCAGAGCGAAGCAAGCACATTGCTGGCCATGGCCATGGCCACGTTTAGATAGCCATGTGGAGGTGTTTGCATAATGAATGAGCCCAAAGCCAACAGCTACAACGCCACAGCGGCCTCTGAACTGGAAAATGGGGAGCAGCAGCAGCAGCAGCAGCAGCGTCCACAGTTTTGGTTTGATTTTGGGCTGTGGGAGGCTCCAGTTGGAGACTGCCAGCTCGCGCACAAGTAAATGAAATCAAATGACAAAACGTAAATGCGATCAATTACAGTTTGTGAATTTTAACGGAAAATGGCCAGAAAGCCGAGCACTGCAGCAGCAATTGCGATTGTTGTGCATTTGCTGCGAGCATTTAAGTGAATGATGATGCCACTGCCATGCAGAGAGTTGGGATGCTGCCCCGCTCCATCTTTCCATTGGCCACGCAAAATTATGACTGCCAGTGAACCGGAGAGGCAACAGTCGGCTGGGAAACCGGCAAGGCAACAAGTCATTATTGTAATTATATTAATACCCACAAGCCGCACACATTACACTGAATAAGATCGTCCACAAAAAAGAGAGTAAGAGTGAGAGAGTGATACGGAGAGGAAGGAGCTACTGCCAGAACGTATGTACGTGCCCCAAGGATTGGACAGAAGCAGCGGCAACGGCAGCAACCAGAACGACTTTTACTGCTTGACAGCGCCTACGCCCGGAAGTCTGTCAATTTGCGTATAATTTGTTTATGAGCTTCACACACTCACACATATGCAGAGACGCCTCTGAGCGGATGCGGAAGCCGAGAGAATCTGAGCAAGGAAACTTTTTGATTACATTCCAAGTGGCCAGCTTTAGACCCAATCATTGGATGGCATTTTCAGGCATATTCAGAATACGAAATGAATCCAATGAAGGAAACGTGAAACTATTCAATTAAATGCTGCAATAAAAACGAAAACAGCTGTCGTCTTGGATATGTATTTAAA